CCTCTACAGTGTATGGTATGTGTGTATACATGTTCATGCATATGTGCTGTGTGTACAAATATATATGCACATACTTAGAGGCATGTATAGAGCCCAGATGTCAACATCTGTTGTCTCCCTCGATTTCTTGCTTAGTTTTTGAAACAGAATCTTCCCCTGGACCTGGGTCTCAGTGATTTGGCATGACTAGGTGGCCCACAAGACACAGGGTTCTCCTGGCTCTGCCTACCCAGTATTAGGATTACAGGCACACATCACCATGTCTGGCCTTCCTCGTGGGTGTTAGGCATCCAAACTTACACTTTACTGAATGAGCCATCTCTCTTGTCCCTCACATCGTTTCTTATCCTGGCTCCTAAACTCAGGATGGAGAAATTTGCCACACCTAGCAAGAAAGCCACGGTCTGGCGGGATATAAGCTAGAACTCCAGCTCCTCTTATGTTTCTGGGAGGACAGAGCCTAGAGTGAGGAGAGAATCCCCTTTCCTGGTCTCCATTCCTAACACTCTCTGGCATTTGGGATGAACCTACCTTCCACAATCCTCCAAGGGAGCCAGCATTGCTGGGTTGCCATTGAGAAAGGAGCCGCCTGCTAAAGTGTCCTTCCTCCTCATCCACTGGCCAACCATTTTGCTGCCATTTCATTTGTTAGATTTCCTGCTGGGGCTCAATAGTGTGGCTGCTCTGTTTGTTATTTAAAAGAGTGACCCTAATGAGCCCAGAGCTCTGAAGAGGGGCAAGCCTTATTTCAGCAAGTGAGAAGAGCTAAGACAAAGGGTGCCTAATTGAAGCCCAGGGAGGTCTCCAGACAACCTTGCCTGGTGACAATACCTTAGGCCAGGGGATAACTCTTTATGTCCCAGCTAGTTAACCCATGCCTTTCTGAACTCACAAACTAACCGACTAAAATATCCCTAGCAGAGGCTGCAAACTGGAGCCAAGAGCCACCCAAAGCTCTACTTGAAAGGAAAGGGGAACGGAAGACGCGGAGAGGAGCGAAGGACACTGTGATGTGCGTGAAGAGAATCTGGGAACAGCTGTCTAGCTGGCAGGGAGACACTTAGGGGAAAGGTCTGAGGCAGGAGAAAATAACCACCAAGTGGAGAAGTGGGAGGGCAGGCTGAGGCCACTGCCTGAGCCACATATTAAAGAAATCAGGCGACAGCAGACCCCCTCTGCTGGGCTCCTCCTGTTCTTTCTCCTTCTCCTGAAGCCGGCAGCTTTGGGACCAGTCTGCATGTGTAGCCCCAGCATCGTTGCTTCTGGTTGGCTACACTTGAGATAATGGGAAGGCACATTTGAGGATCATTAGTATGTTCTTTTTTTTTTTTTTAATAAGGGGTGATATTTTTTGAGACAAGACTGTAGTCTAAGCTAGTCTGGAACCCATTTTGTAGCCCGAGTTGGCCTTGAACTGGCACCCTGCTCTGAGCTAAAAGTATCCTTCAGAGTGATATTGGCTCCTCATCTTGACTTAACTATAAGGGAAGAGCTCAAATGAGAGCTGGGGATGGTAACCATCCTGATGGATAACATGAGGCCTCTCGGTCCCAAGAAATATTGAACAAAGGTTAAACCAGTGATGGTCTCAGGGTGTGGATAGAGCCCAAGTCCCAGAGGTGGCATTTACACTCAAGTGTAAGATGAACTAAGCCAGAAATAATATATCTGAAGGTTGTTGTTTGCGCTGGGGGAAGGTTGAAGACAAAGGTGGGCAGGCTTGAACTGTTTCTCCAGGCTTAACATTACGTTCCCTTGATTTGTGTTTGACACATGTTTTAGTCTCAGTAGTCTATGGCCTTTAGCTTTGGTTCTAATCAGCGAATACTTGGGAAACTGACATGAATCAGATTTGAATTGAACACTAAAAATAACAGAAGACCGTATGGGTCTACGGAACCAACTCAACGGGAAGGTCTCCCACCTTGGAAAGAGCAGCCAGGCAGGACACACCCTCTGCAGAGAGGATGCGCACTGAGTCCTAGAAGACCTCACTCTCATCCCTCCCTATGTCACACACTGTGTTGAAATATGGACAGAGAAAAGGAAAGAACAGAAAGGGGCTGCTTGCTCTCCTAGAACTTCCCCTCCCAAGGTCCCTTTATCAGGAAGGCGTTCGATTTAGTGAAGGCGTATAATGGAAACGTCAGTCCATGGCTTAGGAGGAAGTCAAGATGAATGGAGGCCTAAGAATGGCCAGCACTGGGCAAGCAGAGGACAATCTGTGTGCATTTACTGGTGCAGAGAGCCTGCTAGGGAGTGTTCAAAACAGAGTGAGAAAAAAAAAAAACGGAGTGAGGAGGGCTAGAGATGCAGTTCAGTAGGCAGAGGGTTTGCTGAGCATGCGTGAAGCCCTGGACTTGATTCTCAGCGCCACACACACCTAAACTAGATGTGGGGGGGGGGGGGCGGATATAGCAGGGTGGTCAGGAGTTTAAGGTCATCATCTCTGCTCTACATTACAAAATCCAGCCTGGGGTACACGATGAGACCCAGTGACAGAGAGGGGAGTCGGCAGTGAGAGAGACTGAGCCAGCGAAGGGTTTTCAAAGCCAACAGCTGAAGTGTGTTCGGCACTCTAGAAAGGTCATGCCGACAGGAGAGCTGGTTTTGCAGAGACAGGCAGGGCCCATGCTGTGTGACACTTTATAAACCACATTAAGGAGATGCTTCCTTATTAGGACCTGCAGTAAAAAAGCCGTTGGCAAGCAGTAAGCAGGCAGGTGCTGAAATCGCATTCCATTGTAGATCACTCTGGTTGCAACACAGATTGAAAGAAGCAGAACCGGGTGCAGGGGAGGCTGCAGCAGCACAGATATGGGCTGGAGTGTGGCAGGGAAGATGAAGACGCAGCAATGGCATTGCAGAGATACCGGGAGACTTAAGTCCACAGAGAACAGCACCCTGGCCATGAGCTATCAGGGACACACAGGACTAAGGAGATCTTGGGAATTTAGTTTCATTAATATACTAATAGGAGGTATCTCAGATAGTATAAATTTGGTTAGAAAATGGAAAAGGAGTGGGAAAATATATGAACAATTCAACTTTCCAGATGTGAGCTCCCAATACCAAAAGAATATCTTCTCCAGTTTAAAATACTAACTGAGATTCAGGCCTGGTGGTACAGCCCTGCAACCTCAGCAACTTAGGAGACTGGGGTGGAACAACTTCCAGGGTTGTCTGGGTTACAGAGAGAATCAAAGCCAGTCTAGGCAACTGAGTCAGATCACAACCCAGAAGAAACAAGGTGTGTGAGCTGAGGCCATCGCTCCGTGGTATAGCCCTTGACTCTCACGCAGGGCCCTAGGTTCAATTCCTAGTACCTTAGGAAGAAGATGGTTTCAAATGTGAACCTGGGGTGATGGTGTGACCAGAGATGTAAACTCAAGGAACATGCAGGTATTGAGTCCAAGGCCAATAGTACAGAAATAAGCGGCTCTAAGTAAGACAAAGCCCCCTGGAATGAAAGAAGACTGTACCAGGGATCCTAAGATGGGAAACCTGAGAGAAATAGGGGTCAACCAGGACCCTCTGTACCACAGAGAGATGGTGGAAGAGTGGAGCTCACAGCAGGAGGGGATTAGGGTTGAGAGGTCTCAGTCATGGCCACATTGAGGCTGCTTTTCATTTTAACTCTAAATTAAGAACTTTGTTTAGAGACTGGAGATCTACTTCCCTCCAAAGGGTAAATGAGGATAGCTCATGCAAACCTTCACCAAAGGTGGTTTAAATTTTTCAGGGTGCATTCTAGTATTTTATTTCAGGGGCTGGACAGCAGGTGCCTGGGGATTCTGTGTTTCTAGAACATGCTGTATGTGCTATCTAAATAGTTCAAAATGAATCTTTAAATGGATTGTTCAAAACCCACTGCTGGACAAAAAAAAAAGTCAAGTATTGAACAGCAGCCATAGCTGTGTTTGTATAAAATTATATACTTAAACCCAAATGGATACAGATCCTAGCAAGATGTCTAGGGTGGTTCCTGACTACTTAGCAATGGTTAGTTGGAGTGAAGGTCATTTTAATTTTATTCTTTGTAGTCTGTCTTCTTTAGATCTTTATAGCCTACATCCATACCCATTTTAGCAAATTAGAAAATCACATAAGATCCCCTTCATGAAGTCAATGAGCACTTCCCGGAAGGCATAGCACAGTCACGGATGCCTCAAATGAGGAGGTCGGGGCTCAGCATCTCACGGGTGGAGTTTTGAATGTGAACACTCCTCTCATAAGATGAATAATTGGTATCCAGTGGATAGCACTATGTTAGGAGGTGGTTGGAACTCTGGGAGGTGGGTCCTTTCTTGAGGGAGAAGGTCATGGACTTCATATTTTTGAAGCACGTAGGTGAGACCTCTTTTTCTCTGCTTTTTTACGATGAGGTAAACTGCCTCACCCCACAACATGTTCTCCACCACAGTGTTCTCCTGCCCTATGGTCCAGAAGCCATGAAGCCAGCCATCATGGCTCATGCCTCTGAAACCATGGGGGAAAAAAAAGGTCTCCTTCTAAGTTGTTTCTTCTAAGTATTTTGTAAGAATGAAACAAAGTGGCTAAAACAGAGGCCTTTTTTTTTCAGTCTTGCTACAAACCAGACTGAAAGGTGCCTCCCACAGCATGCCGGCTCATGAAGACAGAGGGAAGGAGGCAAGGTGAGGAGACCATGTTCATTGTGAATTCAAGGCCAGCCTGGTCTACAGAGCTCATTCCAGGATAGTTAGGACTGTTAAACAGAGAAAAAAACCTGTCTAAAAACACACACACACACACACACACACACACACACACACACACAAACAAAAAGAGTATGAGAGTATGAACCAGCAAGGTTTAACTGAAGTGATCCCTTGACCATGACCAGGTGCCATTTCAAGACTAGCCTTCAGGATGCTGCCATCCTGAACAGCCTTTCCCTGGTCCCGCACCTCCAATCCCCCTGCCTGTGAAGCTCTCTTCTGGTCCCCACCCGTGTTGGCGCAGCCACACTCCACACTTACCTATTCAGCATGTTAGACTGGTAAATCCTCTTCTCGTGGGTGTTGTAACAGCTACTCTTGGGCTCAGGGATGAAACTGTGCTCGGACAGCATGTCGGAAGCAGCGGTGGTGATGATGGCAATCCCATCTCTCACCCTAGCAGGAAGGCCATAGTCCCATTCGTCATAGGACACAGAGATAAGCCCCGTGGGAAACTCGGCGGGCACAGTGTCTGTATCCCCAGCCACCAGACTAGGCACAATCCATGTGTAACCGTAGCCGGTCAGCCCAACCGAGTTAGCTACTTCAAATATGTAGGTGGCTTCTTCCTTCGTGCAGTAGAGGAGGATGATGGGGCTTTGCAACTTCTTCAGCTGGTTCTGGATCTTCGAGTCGCCGTCGTCCAGAGACATGTCTAACAGGAGGACTTCCTCCAGTTCCCAGCCCACAAAGCTGTTCTCGATGGTGCTGCGGATCTTGTTCACAAAGTCCTGGTAGCCGGGGAAGTAGGTGGTGACAATGGAGAAGATGTACCAGTCGTATTCTTCCATGATGTTGAGCATGACCGAAGCTTGCTGTTCAATGGACGGGCCAAACTGGAAGAACATGGAGGACTCGTCCTAGAGCAAAGTAGAGGAAAAAAAGAGAGAAATAGAAAAAATCAAACAAAGATAGCCAGGGGGATTCTGAATGGACTGCAGACAAAAGTTCAAGGTTGTCATATTTTTTTCATAAAATTTTTCATTTTCAAAATTTTCAGTTAAAAAAAGATTGAACATTTTTTCAATTTCAAACATGTATAGTAAATTTATCCCTAAGAGTATTTCCTGGCATTTAGGAAAGGAAACAGCATCAGTCTATGAATCTTTTTGTATGAACTCCTCAGGATCTTAGCTTAAGATAGCTCCTCAGACGGAAACACATTGATATTTGCACAGTAGAACATCAAATACTCAGAAAGCGGAAAGAAGAGTCCAATGCCTTGTGCCAGCCAGGTAAGCTGCCCGCATGTACACAGTCACAGACAGACAGACACACACACACATGCACACACGCTCACCATTTCTCAAAGATGCTAAATTTCTAGGTCTGGAGACTCAGGACGAATAAACTAAACTACCTTGGATCTACCTTAGACTTGTATACATGGCCAGTGTACATCCACTCACCCACAATACACCTGCTGCTTGGCTATGGAAACATAAAGCTGCTAGTATAGCAACCCCCACAGCACGGGAGCTTGAAGCCAGGGTCTCATATGCTCTGCTTTACCACTGAGTCCCCTCTCCTGTCCACTGAAAAAGGTCTGATATGGGTCTCACTCAGTTTCCCAGGCTGGACCTAGACTCACTCTATAGTCTCAGCAGTCTTTGAACTTGGAATCTTGCTGCTTTGGACGTCTGAATAACTGAACTGACAGGTTTGTATCACCAGGCCACCCTTACTAGCACTCTTTGTTAACTTAACCTGTTTTCTGACTGTTGCTCAGATAACAAGATACGCAACTTAGAGCAAGGCTCAAACAGTGCCTCTAAGCCATACATTAAAATACTACTAGCTAGGCTCTTCATGTAGCTGTGTTTGGTTTTAAAGCGACCTACAGAAGAGGGCTTGTTTTCTAACCCATATAATGCCACAGATCTTGGACTGGTCTGCGTACTACACAGACACACACACACACACAAACATGCATACACATGCGTGCACACACACACACACACACACACACACTCATACACATGGAGCCAATTCTGAGCATCCTGTTTTCCTCCCTTTCCTTTTGAGGGAGAAGCCATTTTGACCTCCTCCCATTTAAGCTGCATTTCACCCGCTCTTTTGTCGTGTCAAAGCCTGTAGTTCAGCTCCACCTTCTAGCTACAAGAGTCTGAAACCACAAAATGGATACCCCCTCAGCCTGCCCTCTCAGTTCATTCTCCCATTTGTTAATGGAGTCACTTTTCTTAGTCTGTGCCCCCTCCTTCCATCTGAAGGTCCCTGTCCACTTTGAAAAAGTCTAGGCTAACACAGTCATCTCTTTCTTTAAAGGACAATTCCTCCACATCCCCAACAACCCGAGCTTTAAAGCACAGTTACAAGAGACCAAGAAATTGGGCCTTTAAGCAAAATTATATAGCAATTTCTTAGTTCAGGAATAAATAGTCGAGAAACAGTCAAACATTTCTTGAGTGCCAACTGTTGAAAAAATACAGGCTGGAAAATAACCTACTTGCCTGTAAGACCCTAGTTGGACAGTGAGAGCTTCCAGCTCCTTGGATTCGCCAGAGTAATGTGTGCTTATCATGCTTGAACTGGTGACATTGAGCCTAGCCTATCCAGAGAGGAGGAGATGTTTTTCCAGAAGTGGAGAGCCTTCTTGCCAATGGTGCAATGCTGCATACCCTTACTGTGTCTGTCTCCTCTGGGCTTAAATATGAAGCCAGAGATGGGCTCCTGAAGACTAAAACAGCCAGAGAAGCAGGGAAGATGAAGCAACAAGAACAGATGGCTAGAAAAAAAGGGAATGAATTCCCTCTAGAATAATTAACACAGCATATGTGCCCATTCCAAACTCTGGCTAGCCCTTGCTCTTAGACACCTATAACACAAAGACTGTTCTTTGGGGGGAAATGACCTGTTCTCTGGTTGTAGGCTACAGTTGTGATGTGGAGTGGGTATTGTCTCTCTCTGTTAGTAAATCCTCCAAGATGAGAGTAGAAGGATGTGTTGTCCTTTGAGAGATGATACGTCTTGAAGGCAGAGATCTCAGAGAAGGGGTTCGTGTCCTCATAAAGAAGGCTCCGGAGAGTAGCCTTTACTGTTCCACCTTGAGTGGACACAGAGAGAAGCTGCCTTGATATAGCCAAGAGGGAGTTTTTACCAGACACCAAATCTACTAGCACCATGATCTTGGATTTCTCAGCCTTCAGAGTTACGAAAAGCAAATCTTGTTGTTGATAAGCTGTCTCCTTTATGACATTTTCATAGCAGCTTAAGATGACTAAGACAAGTGGATATTCGAGACAATGGAGCTTAATTATTCCAACACTTGTCAGGGACCTGCAGAGAACCACAAGGGAAAAAACAGACAGAAAAGAAAGCCCATTGACAGAACAGCTCATCTCGAATAGACGCGGCTTCGAGGAGACATCTACTCGATTTTCTTGTAAACACGGTCTTGGAGATTCTCAAATGGGAAATCTTATCCTGTGAATTTCCACAGGCCCAATAGTTACACCAAGTGAAAATACTTCCAATATCCTTTAAGATAGACAAAACCTAGGGAGAAGGAGATCCCAAGTGCAAATGAAATAAAACAACCTGCTCTTATAATGGGTGAAGAGAATTTAATTGCAAGGAGGCTCTTGAATGCACACAATGTCCCACATATGGTAAAACCATAATTGGCTCATATGCACAGCAAGAATCAGCTTTGTGGAAAACTCACAGTTGTCCAACTCAAATGGTCAGGGTTAATGATATTGAACTTAGAGAATGAAACATCTGTTAAACAACAACTCGACCCTCTCTTCCTTTGGTCTTCTCAGTGCCTCACAAATGAACTCATAAAGATACTACCAGCTACTATGCAAAGAAAACTAATTTACAATGAGAGTGACAGAAGAAAGAGGAGCATGGTTGTGTCACACCCCCGCTGCACTCTGAGCACACCTTCTAATCCCATCATCATATATAACCCCTTTCCTATACAACCCCCGTCATGCTCGCCTCACCCATTCTGTATTGCCAGTCCTTCTCATTCAATAAGGATGTCTACTACAACCGTTTACCTGGCACCAAATCAAGTTTGGTGAAGCCAAATAGAAACCAAAAGGCAGAGTTATGGCTTGGGCAAAGGCTTCCTGGATAGTGTTGTTTATTTAATTGACACATCAGGCTGGTGTACAGAGGTCAGTAATAGAATAGCTCTTTCTTCCAACAAAGCTTTGATCTTTCTCTAAGTTGCAAATGGTGACAGGATTTGCCAGTTATGGCCTCTGTCACAAATCAAAGCACAATCTTCATACGTGCTCGGAGTGGAGAGCACCGGTGGTCACACATCCATCTTCACAGGCATCCAGCGTACACTGGGATCACCCACTAGTGACCAAGGGTGAAAGACAGAGGCATAATTCTGTGTGCAGCTCACTGTTTCCCCATGAACATTCTTATCTCCTAATGATATTACAAAATTTTGAGACTCAGGGATCCTTGGAACAGCTACCTCCCCCCACCTGCAGTGAAAATTCCCAGCCAAATCTATTACATGAATGCTATTCAGCTTGCCTTAAGAGCATCTTTAAAGTCTTCCCGCATAAAAGGCTGCCTTCACTGAGATGGGCAATTAACACAGGGGAGGTAGGATTGTACATTAGACCCCATCAGTCTACAACCTTTATGCTGTACTTCCATTACATTGATGTTCGCAGTGTTTATTTGCTAATAAGAGGAAATAAAAAGAAGTACTTTTCCATCCCATTATCTGCCTCTGAAAACAACTGCCTAAAGAATTAGCAGCATGAGAAGTTTTTCATCATCCAGATCCCCTACCGATCCACGTCTGAAATAAAGAACTAAGTATCCCAATGGCCAGTGCCTCTGGCAACAGACTTCATCTCAGTACCCTGCCCCCAACACACACAGCACTGCCTCTCAAATGAAATGAGCCGTTTGTCTACAATTATAACCTCCTCCTGGAATACAGAGCCTTGCTTGATTGGCTGACATGGTGTATAAAGTCCTGGCCCCTTTGCTCTAAGTCCAGAGAGCTTTGTCACACTTCTGAATTCCCCACAAATTCATTAAGAGTGCCCATTACAACTACATTACCTGTACTTCTCCTTCTGTTGTGCAGTCCAGTTTTAGCTTCCTTCCCCTTTCTTGTGTTGATGTCAAGATCCTTCCTTAATCAGCCTACATCTTGCCTTTGACTTCAGCCTGTTTTACATGGAACCTGACTCCACTTACCCCCCTTTATAATCATGAAAAGAGGTGTGCCTTCAAAAACTTAAATAGAGGGGCTGGGAAGATGGCTCATTTGGTAAAGTTCCTGCCTTACAAGCATGGGGGACATGAGTTTGAATCTCCAGCACTCATGCTTCCAAACAAAAAGCTGAAAATAGTTGCATCTGATGTCACCCTAGCTCAGTGGTATAGAGACAGACATGTCCCTGAAGCTCTCTGGCCAGCCAATTTTGCCAGTCCATGAGCATCAGGTACAATGAGAGACTCTTTCTCAAAAGATAAGGTGAACAGTGATAGAGAAAAACAACTAATTCAGAGCCCTGAACGTCACATGCACAGATGTACTTACACATGTACCCAAACACACATACATTACAAAGAAATAAAAATTAAAAGAAGAAACATTTAAACATAATATTCATGTTCAAATATCATGGTGATTCATGTTGTAGAAAGATAATCCTCTGCCCATCGACTGGAGATGTTAGAACTAGGGTGAAAAGGTTTCAGTTGAATATCAGAAACACATTGGTAGAAGGTATATTTCTTAGTGGGATGAGCCTCAGAAGTCAGTGACCTGTCCATCAACCTGAAACAGGAGCATCATTCTTATCTGCTGAAGGTTCCTTCCCACTGCTCTCTTTAACTTTATTCTCAC